GAAACAGATAATTATCCAGCATCAGGATAAGCCTGAAATTTGCTGCATGAGTTTCTAAAAAGCAGAATTTAAAATCTATGTTTCTTTCTTTCTTTTTTTTTAAATCAAACCTTGTGTTCATTTAGGTAGACAGTTATTGCCCCTGCTTGTAGGGAGAGAGGGTAGCTTTTTTATTCAACCCTAGGTCCAAGGACAAAGGAATACTGTGCTTCTTGGTAAGTGGAAAAAACAACATTTATTTCTGAGTTGTCTGTTGCTTGGCAACCAAAGCTCTCAGCTCAATTTTAACTTATCAATGAGTTCTGTACATGAAGAGACATTAAAGCCTGTCTGAAGCTTCATCTCCATAGTAACCATGAGCCTGAGCCTGACAAACACATCACCTGACTGTCGTCTAAAGAGCTGCTGCGCCCTTATTCTTTGTGTGTATGTTGTGTGTGTGCATATGCGTGCTCTCATGGAGTGACAGACTATAAAAGAAATGGCTTACATTCAGAAAAACAATTCTTACTTAGAATTAACAACTGACTTATGTTTCCCTGGCTCATGTTAATAAAATGAAATAAAACCAGAAAATTTATATAGGGGCCAGTATAAAACCTTTCATGTCCACAGAAAGATTCCTAATTGGATCAGATCCATGAAGAACGGCTTTTCCCTTTAGTAGGTGACAAAATGTACCACAACCTTTTATCTACTATCCCTTCCCCCCAAATAAGACATGCACTTTATTTGGGGAAATGAAGGGGAAAACAGGGTTTTCCAAAGTGATGCCTGCATAGAGCAGGGACAGAGCCTAATCTTCAGCTGATTTGCCCTCCCTTTCCAGTTTAACCAACAGCTGAAACCTAGCTGCCACTGAAGACTGGTCTTTGCGGGTGTCTCTACAATTTGGAACTGCTCAAAGAAGCCTATGAAATAAGAGAAGACAGACCAAGAATAGCTAATAGACACCAGCATTTCCAGAAGAAAGGTTAGTTTGATTAGTGGAACCATTAAAAGGAGAGAAAATCATTAACAGCTGTGGAGTGAACAACAATGAGCCATTAAAGTCAACTGCTTCCCTCAGCTGCCTGAACAGAAATGCCATGGCTGCTGTGAATAGGAAGCAAAGCTGGAACGGGAATCAAAGCGGGGTGCTTCTATTGTGGGCATCAAATCAGCTTCCCTGCTTAAGATGCACACCCCAAATTTGGGGGCTGATTTTGGGGCAAAAGGTCTGCGTGCTATGTGAGTAACTATGGTATTTTGAATAAGCAGCAACAAACACTGTAGTCCAAGTCCCAATCTAGCCCAAAGGAAGGGGTGAAATGCAAAGGGAGACTTTTTCAACGCAGAATACTTGAGATGTGAAATTTCTCAGTGGAGCTAGAAGTGAAGCAGGATATTTTCAAAAAAGGAAGCGAGTTAGGATTTCCTTATCCATACAGAGCCACCTAAAAATATGGTGAAATTTTCAGAAGAGAGTACTTACTCATAAATAGTCCTGAACTGCAGACAACCCAGGACATCTGAAATTTGGTCACATCTTTGTATGCCTAATATGTGTTTAGGAGTTTAATTTTACACTCCTAAGCTTGAAACTCTCTGTCAAGGCCCTTTAAGGTGAGAAAAGGTTTCAATAGCTGTTCTCCCCAGGAAGTTGTAGTGAGTGAACTGAACAACAGCCTAGGAAGAGCTAATGGAGCATGTGGACAAGCAACACCACAAAGGAGATTTTACAAAAACCCAAAGAGGAAGAGAATTTGCTTTGATGCCTGCTAAAAGAGATCCATCTTCCAAATTTAGGATAGATCCCAACCAGAGAGAAAAGGGTCCAATTTTTTTTAAATATCGAACACCCAAATATAAGAGTTGCATTCCCATTGCATTTAAGAGCAATCCTAACAGACCAGCTGAAGGTTTGTCTAAATTAGATAGCATAACCCATGTGGTGGCCACCATCTCTTCCAAGACCAGGCATTAATCAGGGGCATGTCAAATTAAAAATCAGAGATGCTGCCATTTAAGCTGAATAGCCAAAGTTCTCTTAGTCTCACCTCCTTTGAAGACTGCCCATGGAGCTGAACTTGTAACAAACATACACAACAGAGTTATAACAGCAAAAGGAGCCCTTTTGCAAAAGAAATCTTTACCTGGGATGTGGGGGGCCTCTGTCCTGAGATGTTTGAGATGATACACTTCCATCCAAGGAGTTTCCACGGTGACATGCTGAAATAGTAGCTTTATGAGGTACAGAATCTGGTTGGGCTGTTTCACACACCACCTGGAGACCCTTAGGGTGTTTTCAGCAGAGAGAAATATATTTCAAAACATCTCTGTCTCTTGCACATTTGCTTTCTTAGTATGATCAGATAGGTGTCTAGATATTAACATTGTCTATGTTACAATTGCACTAAAGGGACTGAATTGCAATTGTGGACTCATTGCGCTAGGCCATGCTGAATGGACATATGGCAGAGGTGGGCAAAATGCGGCCCACGGGCTGGTCGTGGCCCACCAAACCATTCTATCTGGCCCACAGGGCCCCTAAAAAATTTAG